AGCGTGGATGGCAGAACAAATGTTCAATTGCCTTCAACGTGGCACGGCTCTGTCCCTGGGGGGAAAAGCAACATCAGCGTGCATTTAAGGAAAGCTCCATTTCTTCTGTTAGATCTCTGTAGTGGATTATCAGTGTGTGTCTGTTTTCCTAACTCCTTGAGGGCAGGGGCCGTATCTTAGAATGTTCACTCTCTTGTGTTGAGTGTCAACCGTAGGAGAAAGTGAACACCCAACACTTGATTGATTGATTGATTTACCGCATTTGAGTAGAGCTCCGTATGTACATAATAAAGGAAGAATCAGATAAATGTGACTATCATGTTTGAAAATTTTAGATGTCTGAAAAAAAATGAGTTAATTTAACTCAGTGGTCATCGGACACCAAGAAAAACAAGGCTGTTGGAGCAAGTTATAAAGTTGCGGGATAAGGAGTTTTGTCCCCATGATGTAATTCTTCTCTATCTGGACATCATCCTGGGGGTATTCTGATTGCTCCAGTTTCCTGCTGAGGCCCTGAAGTACAATTTTCGCTAATTCCCAAAGGGACTTGGTTTTGCATGGCACTAATCTGGCCAGCATCCTGGCTAAGAATGAGGCCTGTGGACTGCCTATGTTGCTGACCACAGATGCATATCATCTGTGTTGGACTTGGCCTTAAGTTTGGAGCCAGCTAGCAAGATCCAAGCTTGTGTATGATTAAGGAAAAGGGCATGGTAGGGACTAAGAGATGAATTTATCTGGTGGATACAAAACTCTCCTTGATGGTCAGGTTTTCAGTGGGAAAAGGCTGACTCCGAACCCAGCTGGGTTTCCTTCCTAAAGTGCTTTATAGCTGCTGTGGTTAGCACCCTTGTACCCTGGGGCACCCAGAGAGTAAGAACGGCAGCTGTGAAGAGGAAGCCAATTAGGGAATCTGTTTTCTTGCATTTCCTTCTGTTCCTTTGACTGTATTTGGGTCTTGGAGGACTGGGATTGCTAGAGGAGATCACAAGCCTTGGAAAGAGTCAAAGAGTCACCACCTGCTGCACAAACCCATACTTTGTTTCCTGCTACCTGCGTCCTCAGGCACTTAGAAGACAAAACAGATGAGGAACACGTAGTAAGTCAGGTGGGTTTACATGTTCCCAAACTTCCCTGACAACCCTGATAATAAAAGTCACTAGAGGAGTTTTTCAATCATCAGCTTCCCAAGACCCAGCCCTGGAGATTCAGATGTGGTGGGTCTGAATTCTGCAAGGGTGGGGTTGGAGATTAGAAAAACACTCTAGCCCACCCAACAGAGACAAACAAAATGAGGGGGAAAGGGAAGAGGCTGATTTAAACTGAGGAGGAGGATGCCAAATGACACCAATACCCCATATTTCTTAAGAGAGCTAGTAGCATGGTCTTTGGGGTCAGAAAAACTGAGATTTGAAACCCAGCTTTGCTGTGTGACCTCGAAAAGTGATTTAACATCCCAAAACCTCACTTTGATCATTCAGAAAATAGGAACAATAATTTCTGCCTGATAAGGTTGAGAAAGAATTAAAAACGAGGCAATGGATGCAAAGCCCTCTTCATCACTCAACAAAGCAATCAAAACTGAAACATTATAAATATCACTGTTATTTTGGCCAAGGTGAATTGACGTGCTTTTGGTCACCTCCTTGTGTGCAGATGACACAACTTGTGCTCCCAATCATGCTCTCTCTCTCCCTCTCTCTCTGTCTCTCTCATTCCTGCTTATAATCAAGGGGTAATGTTTGTAAAAGAACTGGCTGGCCAGATAACCCCCCCCCAAAAAAAACAAATAAAACAAAAAACCTCCCTGTTGGGATTCAGCAGTTACCTTCCCCAATTTAGCAGGGTTAACAAATGGCTCTAAGAATAATTGTCAATTCCCTGGTCATTTCAAAAACCCAACAATGTCTGAGCTAGAAAGGCTCTTCCATCATATGCAGTCTGGTTGCCCATGTGACACATAGAGGAGATGGAGAGAAGAGGAGACCCGTGCAGAGTCATGCTAGTGAATAGTGGCCAAGATAGGACACCACCCACGTCCCCCAGCTCCTGGTTGTATCCAAGTACTTTGTGTTGTACCACAGCTGGGTCTTGGAAGCTGGGTGTCCTGACCCCTCCCCTCCCCTCCCCCTGTCTTTTTGTCCCTTCCCCCTCTTTTCACTCCACTGTCTACAAACAGGGTCAACATCAATCATTTTAGAAAAGCGACAGTGAGCATAAAAGCCATCGCTTTGGGGCAGATCCACGTCTGGTCTAATCCAACAAGGTAGATAGAATACCTCCGTTATACAGAAGAGGCTGCTGAACCTCAGTAAGTTTCAAGGACTTGCCCAGACTCACTCAGCTTGTAACTGTAACAGGCAGGATTTGAACCCTAACTCTGAAGCTTCACTACTCCCCACCTTGGACTAGGAAATCTGCCTGATGCCTGAATGACCTTGACCTGCCCTAATACCATCCACTCACGCTGCTCCCAGATACCCACTCCTGGCCCAGCGTCACTGGCGGCCTGGAAGGAACACTGGCTGGTAATCAATGTTACACAACAGGAACATTGTTGATGCCAGTTGCAAACTGTTGCAGTCTATATAGATTAAGCCACTGCCGCCAACTCCATGAAAGTAAATGAGCCTCTCCCACGACTGCTGAAATAAATTTAAATGACAGCACTGGAGGGCCTAGAGACTGTAGCTGAGCGAGTGTCTCTCTGCAGAAAATCGACAAGGACAGCTATCAGTCCGAGGGCCTTTGTCCCCGTGATGTAATTCCTCTCTATCTAGACATCATCACGGGGATGTTCTGATTGCTCCAGTTTCCTGCCGAGGGGCTGTGATTGCAATGACAAGAGTAAAAACCGTGACGGCAGCTGGCATTTGCTAAGCACTCACTACGGGTGAGGCGCTGTCCTAAGTGCTTTGCACACATCAACTCGCTGAATGATGGCAACCCCAGGAAATAGGAAATGATAGCCCCATTGGACAGCTGAGGGAACTGAGGCTCGGAGAGTGAAGTCATTAACCAGCAATTGGCAGAACTGGGTCTTTAAAAAGCAAACAATGCTGGTTTCCAGCACCATTCTTCCAGACAGCTGCCTGGGCCAGCTCTTCTTTAAAATGACTAAATGGTTTTACCTTCGAGACAAAAATAAATCATAAGGATGGGGACCGAGGTGGGAGGATCACTTGATCCCAGGAGTTTGCAACCAGCCGTAGTGAGATCCGTCTCAAGAAAAAACAAAATGAATTACAAGAAGTTTGCAAGGTATACAAGGCTCTCCAGGGCCAGGCCCCTGTCTCCCTACCATACCAGCTTTATCCCCCGTACCCTCCACTTGTGCTCCAAAACCCCTTCCAATTCTTTTGTGCCCACCTCTGCCCAGCCTCCAAACCTCCGTGGGTTTTCACACAGGCCTCTGTTCTGAATCTGCCTCGTGATTCTGAATCCTAAAATATTTCTGTGTCTCCCACAAGGTCACTCTTACACTCTTTCAGTTTAAAATTTACTTCCCCCAACCCTGCTTTTACACTGTTGGTGGGAATATAAATTAATTCAACCATTGTGGAAGACGGTGCTGAGATTCCTCGGATATCTAGAACCAGAAATACCATTTGACCCAGCAATCCCATTACTGGGTATATACCCAAAGGAATATAAATCATTCTATTACAAAGGTACATGTATGCCCATGTTCATTGCTGCACTATTCACAATAGCAAAGATGTGGAATCAACCCAATGCCCATCAGTGATAGACTGGATAAAGAAAATGTGGCACATGTACACCATGGAATACTATGCAGCCATAAAGACAAACAAAATCATGTCCTTTGCAGGGACATGGATGGAGCTGGAAGACGTTATCCCTAGCAAACTAAGGCAGGAACAGAAAACCAAACACCACATGTTCTCACTTACAAGTGGGAGCTGAACAATGAGAACACATGGACACAGGGAGAGGAATAGCACACACTGGGGCCTGTTGGGGGTTGGGGTGGCGGGAAGGAAAGCACTAGGAAAAATCGATAATGCATGCTGGGCTTCATAACTAGGCAATGGGTTGATAGGTGCAGCAAACCACCATGGCACATGTTTACCTATGTAACAAACCTGCACATCCTGCGCATGTGCCCCAGAACTTAAAATTAAAACTTGAATTTAAAAAAACTTCACTCCCCCCAACAAGCCCAGCCAGAGCACACAGCTTGGAAAAGAGAGTGTGGCCTGGTGTCCATCTCCACTCATCCTCTTAGCCTCACGTCTTTGTACAGGGAGCAATCTGCCCAACTGTACACGGCAGGCCTGTCCTGCAGACGGAATTAAGGGCCTGTCTTCTCTGTCCTCCGAGCACACAAGCTTTTCTCTTTCCAAGCATTCATCATATCAAATATGATTGTGTCTACTTTCCCATCCCCCTTCCCAGTACATATACAACCAGGCAGTGAGACCCCTGTGCTTTTTGTTTCTATACTCCTAATGCTTAGCTCAGTCCTGGCATGATCAAGCCCAAGTCTTCAGGAAGAAGAAGGAAGGAAGTGGGGGAATGAGGGAAGGAAATGAAGGAGGAAGGAAGAAAGAAAAACGGAAGAGGAAAGGAAGGCGGGAGGGAGGGAGGGAGGGAGGGAAGAAGAAAAGAAAGAGAAAGAAAGAAAGAAAGAGAGAAAGAAAGAAAGAAAGAAAGAAAGAAAGAAAGAAAGAAAGAAAGAAAGAAAAGAAAAGAAAAGAAAAGAAAAGAAAAGAAAAGAAAAGAAAAAGGAAGGAAGGAAGGAAGGAAGGAGAGAGAGGGAGGGTGGGAGGAAAAGAAGGAAGAAAGAAGACAAAGAGGGTGAGAGGGAAGGAGGAGAAAAAAGAAACGAGGGAGGGACAGAGAAAGGAGGAGTTGGTTTAGAGGCCAGCCTGATGAGCCTTGGGCACTGCCCTTAGGAGGGCCACCCTCAGAGTCTGACAGCAGGTGAAGGTCCTAAATCTCCCCAAACTAATTGATGTCTTTTCTCTTCTTCCAAGACGCTCTTCCCGAAGGTCCTTACCTCCTGCCCTCAGGAGCCCTGGAGAGAGGCAGTCCTGGCAAAGAGCACCCCGAAGAGAGACTGGTAACTGCGCCCCCCAGTTCCTCACAGTCCGGGGAAGTGCTGGGAGAGCTGGAGCTGGATGGGACTGCACCCTCTGTACATCACGACACCCCAGTCCTGTCACTGCTGCTTCCAGAGGAGGCCCGCCCCAAGCACACCTTGCCCCCCAAGAAGAAACTGCCTTCGCTCAAGCAGGTGAACTCCGCCAGGAAGCAGCTGAGGCCCAAGGCCACCTCCGCAGCCACTGTCCAAAGGGTGGGGTCCCAGCCAGCGTCCCAGGGCCTGGATCTCCTCTCCTCCTCCACGGAGAAGCCTGGCCCACCAGGGGACCCGGACCCTATCGTGGCCTCCGAGGAGGCATCAGAAGTGCCCCTCTGGCTGGACCGAAAGGAGAGTGCAGTCCCCACAACACCCGCACCCCTGCAAATCTCCCCCTTCACTTCGCAGCCCTATGTGGCCCACACGCTCCCCCAGGGGTCAGAACCTGGGGAACCTGGGCCTGACATGGCCCAGGAGGCGCCACAAGAGGACACCAGCCCCATGGCCCTGATGGACAAAGGTGAGAATGAGCTGACTGGGTCAGCCTCAGAAGAGAGCCAGGAGACCACTACCTCCACCATTATCACCACCACGGTCATCACCACCGAGCAGGCACCAGGTATGCAGCCCCCAACTTCTGAAGCCCTCCTGAAACAGCCATGAGGCACTCACTATGCTCAGGGCATGGGGGTAGAGGAAGCTCAAGAAGCCCAAGCCCCACCATCAGTTACCGTCTATTGCGCACTGACTATGAGCTTCGCCCTGTGGCTCAGAATTAACAGCCTCATTTCATTTGTTTGTTGTTGTTTTGGGAGGTTGTTTTAGCAACAGGGTCTTGATCTGTCACCCCGGCTGGAGTGCCATGGCACGATCATAGCTCACTGCAGCCTCAAACTCCTGTGCTCAAGTGATCCTTTTGCCTCCGCCTCTTTAGTAGCTGGGACTACAAGCATGCACCATGATGTCCAGCTAATTTTTTTTTTTTTTTTTTTTTTAGAAAGGGGGTCTTGCTTGTTGTCCAGGCTGGGAAACTCCTGGGCTCAAGCAATCCTCCCACCTCAGCCTCCCAAAGCACTGGGCTTACAGGCATGAGCCAGGACAATCAGCCAACATCCCCATTTTAAAGATGAAACAACAGAAACCCTGACACCCCCAAGCAACCTGCCAAAGGTCACACAGCTAATGAGCAAGATTCAGAATCTTTTCATCTTGGAACAGAATTCTTCATTTAACCTGATTCAAAGCCACTAGCCTTTTCAAAGTACATTACCTTTAGCATCGCATGTGTTTTCTAGACTTGACAAAATGCTCTTCTGTGTTCCAGTCTTCTCTACCATCTTTAAAGTGGGAGAGGGACCCCCAGTTGTCAAGCATACATGGGTTTTGGACAAGTGCAATGTGGCCACCCTTCAAAGCATGTGAGCTCTGGGTCCAAATCCTGCTTGCTGTTTGAGCTCGGCCCCTCTCTGAGCTTTTGTTTACTTCCCTGTAAAATGGGGATGAAATCTTATCAGTCCCTATGAGAATAAGTGGGGTCATCCCTGTTGACTGGCTAAAATGGTGCCTAGCAGGATATAGTAAGTGATCATTCCACATCAATTATTGCTATTTTTATTATCATGTCGATTCTGGAGCTAAAGAATTAACAGCAGAAGGACAGATGGGAACAGCAAAATGCAGGTTCCCCTAAAGCCCCCATTCCACCCCACAGCCCATGGTTGAGCTTACATCCAAGTTGTCTTTGGTGTCCTAATTAAAGTCCTTCCTTCCAGCTCTCTGCAGTGTGAGCTTCTCCAATCCGGAGGGGTACATTGACTCCAGCGACTACCCACCGCTGCCCCTCAACAACTTTCTGGAGTGCACATACAACGTGACAGTCTACACTGGCTATGGGGTGGAGCTCCAGGTAACTCCAGGAGGGTATCCCACAAGAGGCAGCCTCTTCTAGCAGGAAGTCTCAGGAGGATTGCATGAGTCAGGCTTACTGTTACGCTAACCAGTTTGGTTCTGTCTTTGTTCAACCAGGGCCAACTTTAGCTGGGTTTTGGCGAATGAGTAGGAGTTCTTAACTCAATGCCTCGCTAAAATATCTTGGTAGGGATGGAGGGGACATGCTGACAAATTCTGAGGCATTTCCCAGAAGGAAAATCCCTTGATACTCTGCTTATCTCTCTCTCTGTCTCTCTCTCTCTCTCTCTCTCTCTCTCTGTCACACACACACACACACACACACACGGAAGCTCCACCTGATTCATTTGATTCTTGCTTGCTTGCTTGCTTGTTTCTTTCTCTTTCTTTTTCTCTTTCTCTTTCTCTTTCTTTCTTGCTTGCTTGCGTTCTTGCTTCTTTCTCTTTCTCTTTCTCCTTCTTTCTTTCTTGCTTGCTTGCTTGTTTGCTTGCTTTCCTTCATTTTCTGGTTATTAGAACATTTTATTCTTAAACTTTTGCCCACACAGTAAGAGAGGAAAAGCAGGATGGCATAATGCTCAAACATCTGGGTTTTAAGTCCTACCTCTTCCGGTTAAAACTGCGTGACTTTGAGCAAGGAGATTCACCTCTCTGAGCTTCAGTTTCCCCATCAATAAAATAGGAATAATGTTACTACTTTTTAAAATTTGAGGGAGCAGAAAATATGACAGTGCAGAGAGCATTTGGCCACAGTCCAGCAGAGAGAGAGAGAGAGGAGAAAGAGAGAGATCATTTGGCCAGAGTGCAGCAGAAATCGCGACCATGCAGTGCATGTTAACTGTTATCTTCAGTATGCTAATCACCCTGAATATGTTCCTTTTTCTCATGGGAAATAAAGAGCCGTCAAAAGTTTCTGAGCTGGGGCAGGTGTATGACCTTACCTTAGGAAGGGTTTTTGTTTCTGTTTTTGTTTTTACAAAAACAAAAGGTAGGCCCCTCAGCAGTAGAACCTGTAGTCTTTGCTTTACCCAGTGTGTGGCACACTGTTGGTGCTTAATAATTGTTCATGGAATTAAAATAAACTGGAGAAAATCTGCAGTCCAGATGATTCTAGTGCTTAATGAACCCTTTCCTCCATGTCATGAAGAGTATTGGACCCACTATGTGTCCAACACTGTGTGGAGCCTTTTACCAGGCACAGTAGAGTTCATTCATTGAGCAATTACTATGCACCAGGCAAAGCTGTTGATACAGGAGAATATATTGATATAAAAAACTGATGCAATGCCTGCCCTAAAAGAGAAATACATAGGATGCCATTTAATAGGGAGTCTAGTTGGTGTCTACAGAGGATGTTGTGGAATCACAGCAAAGGGACAGGCAAACTCCTTGGCAATCAGGGAAGGTCTTATAGATGAGGGCAATTTTAATGGGGCTTTGGTGAATGAGTAGCAGTTCATCCAAGAGAAAAGAGGATAAGATATAAGGCCCGAAGGAAGAAGAGTTTGTGGGTAAGGCCTGTCCTGTTTAGAGGAGAGGCAGAGAAACTAAAATTCCAAACCCTGCTCATAAAAGCATAAGTCTTCAAATTGGGCATGGAAACTTGACTGAGGTCTCCCTTACGCACACACACACACACATACCATTTGTTCAGCCTCCCTGCATACAACTAAAGTATCTCCCTTCTTTCTTCTCAAATCCCGCAGAGTGTAAATGGCAAAGCCTGATCCTTTGAGGTAGAGGTTGATTGTCCTGCAGTTGTAGCCACCATTTGGGAGGATAAGAGAGTGGGCCAGAGAGTGCCCTAGAAATGAGGACTCCACCCCTCACTTACCAATTTATGCAGAAAATGGAAGAACATATTCAATCTTTTTGTCATATTTTCTGAGCACCTAATATGTGCCAGGTACTATTCTAGGCACCGGAAACATGGAACAGCATGGAGAAATCCCTATCCTTGGAGAGTATACATTCTGGTGGAATGCCTCTCCCGGCTCCCTGGAGATTGGACCTCAAGCACAAGCTGATCCAAATGCTGCCTCCACTTACCAGCTGCAGGATAATGTATCCCACCCGCTAGCATCCAGGGCCTCTGCCAAAGGCCCCTCTTACAGGACACAGCAGTGGAGGCCTCACATTGCAAGTCCCTTGCAATGCCTCTGCCTTGCAGTTTGGTTTCACTCTATCTCCTTGGATTCTGGGGAAATTAAAGGGACCTTGATGTTCCCAGGGCTCCTGTGGGCTGGGTATGGGGCCCAGCGGTCCCATTGACCAGGGGCTATCAGTGCCTGGGCCACTTTTCAGTGACATCTTTGCAACCTCAGAGGGCTCTGTCTCAAACACAACTCAGAGTGTGTCTCTGTCTGCTTCTGCCTGTTCCCAGGTGAAGAGTGTGAACCTGTCCGAGGGGGAACTGCTGTCCATCCGCGGGGTGGATGGCCCTACCCTGACTGTCCTGGCCAACCAGACACTCCTGGTGGAGGGGCAGGTAATCCGAAGCCCCACCAACACCATCTCCGTCTACTTCCGGACCTTCCAGGACGACGGCCTTGGAACCTTCCAGCTACACTACCAGGGTAGGGTCAGACCAAGGCTGACGAGCCTCAGTTTCCCTCTGGAGAAAAGGATTTTAAAACTTTTTGTGCCAGGGGCCTCTCTGACAGTTTGGTAAAACCCACAAACCCCTTCTCACAATAATGTTTTTTAAAGTATAAAATAAAATATATACAAGTTTAAAGAAAACAGTATTACTGAATTGCAGTTATCAAAATACTGTTATAATCTATGACGCCTTAATCTATGTGTTTTTTATTAATTCATTAAACAATATCTTCTAGTAGTTCTTATAATTGCTGACATTTCAAAGTACTAAGGAGCATAAGAAATATGTTGAGATATCCGTTATGATGTGAAAAATATCTGTGGTTTCTCTTGGTGTCAAAGTCACAGGTTCTACTACAATGTTGCAGTTTGTTGTCAGGAAATAGCACAGCTAAGGTAGAGGCTAATGAAAATAAGCAAGTAACTTTCCTTCATTCAAGTCGGCAGACCCTGATTTCAATACGTAGATCCCCTGTGTGTCCACAGACTCCTGATAAAGAGCCTTAACAGGATCCTTCTCTCTTTTCTTCTTCCTCTACTGTTTTTCCTTTTGGTCTGTTCCTAAGTCTCCTCTGTTTTGCTCTCTGTTCATTCCTCTCTTCTCTTACTTCCTTTCTCCTTCCTTCTTTTCTCCTCCCTCTTTTCTTGTGTGTTTCTTCATTTCCTCCTCTCTTTCTCTTCCTTTCCGCCCTCTATTTTCCCTCCCTTCTCTCTCTCTCTCTCTCCTTTCCTAGTCCCCCTTTTTCTTCCTCTTTTCTTCCCCTCTCCCTCCACCCCATTTCCTCCTGCGCAGTTCCCATGACCTCAGGTCTCCTTTGCCTCACCCAGGAACTTTCCCTTGGATACTTACCAACTGCTGAAATATCTGAATGGAAAGTGGATTCGTGAACCATGCAACCAGATATTGAGAGTCATCATGTTTTGTATCAAATCGTCCAGACATTTGAAAACAATAACTCATTTTCAACTTTTCTCTCACCTGTTTCTGAAACAGGTGGATGACTGTATAGGGGAGTGTCCACTTCATCACAGCCTTTCAATATGGATACTTCCCTTTGCTGTTGTTGTGAATTTAAAAGCAATAACAAAAAGGAATTTGAATTGTGAACATGAATGTACTCCTCCTAATCAGTACTGAGAATACAGATATTCTCTGCTGCAGCAGAGGTCAGACTATGGTCTAGGGTGAAGAAGCTAGGATGAATTTGACATCCTTTTGTGAAAACTGAAGGATTCAATATGGCCCCATGCACCCTTTTACTACCCCCATCTACTGACTGTGAAGGAGGCTCTTTCTCTGTGTTATCTCATTTAATCCCTTCCACCACCTGTAAGGTGGAGGCACTAAGTCCTTGTCTCAAGGTGACATCATTTGTAATTGATAGAGTAAGAATGTAAACGAACATTGGTTTTCCCTCCAAAGCCCAGGCTCTTGTCTCACAGGCCAGTAGTTCTCAAGCTTTCATATCCTTGGGCATTTCCCAAAGACCTGGTTCAAGCATCTGCATTTTTAACAAGCACCCAAGATGTGCATGCAGGTGGGACTAAACTTCCTGGGTGGTCTTGCCCCTCCCAGTCCCAGAGAGAAGGCCATTTTGTGTCCACATAGATAGAGATAGGCTCAAAGGAGGTATGAAAACTCGTTTTTCGTCCCAAACCCGCTGTCTCTGGTTAGGCAAGGTGGCAATTTTTAAGCCCCAAGAAAGTGCTAACCTGGCAGCTTCAGCAGGATATGATCAAAGAGAGTCACAAAAATAGCGTTCTCTGGAGCTCTGGAGTCCCCAGGGGCCTCATCTTCTCTCCCCAGCACAAATTGGCTCCCAGGATGTGGGTCAGATTCTTGATCTCCCGCTCCGAGTAGTGACTGAGTCTGCCTCTGCATTTCTTCCCAGCCTTCATGCTGAGCTGCAACTTTCCCCGCCGGCCTGACTCTGGGGATGTCACGGTGATGGACCTGCACTCAGGTGGGGTGGCCCACTTCCACTGCCACCTGGGCTATGAGCTCCAGGGCGCTAAGATGCTGACGTGCATCAATGCCTCCAAGCCGCACTGGAGCAGCCAGGAGCCCATCTGCTCAGGTATGCTCCAGCCTCAGCCGGACCAAACCTGATGGTCCAGCTAAGAGGGGAAAGACCAACCTGTAGAACATCAAGAGTGACCTCAGGGAATGGCTTTCAGCCCAGGGGAAGAAACTGCTCCAAATATAGATGACTATTGCTATTTTTTTTTTGTATTGAAGCAAAATACACATAATATGAAATTTACCATTGGAGACATTTTAGTATGTTCACACTACTGTGCAACCATTACTACTATCTAGCTCTGAAACATCTTTAACGCCCCAAATGGAAACACTGTACTGAAAGCAGTCACTCCCCACCTCTCCCTCCTCCCCACACTCCCCGGCAACCAGCCGTCTGCATTCTGTCTATGTGGGTTTATCTATTGTGGGTATTTTATGTAGATGGAATCACATAATATGTGACTTTCATGTCTGACTTCTTTCACTTAGCACTTAGCACTGTGTTTTCAAGGTTCATGCATGTTGTAGCATGTATCAGTCCTTCGTTTCTTTTTATGACTGAATAATATTCCATTGTATGGATGTGCCACATTTTGTCGATCTGTTTATTCATTAGTAGACATTTGAGTTGTTTCTACTCTTCAGCTATTAGGAACAGTGCTGCTATGAATACTTGTACGCAAGTTTTTTGTGTGCCTATGGTTTTCATTTCTCTTAGATATATACTTGAGAATGGGATTGCTGGGTCTTATGGTCATTGTATGGATAACTTTTTGAGGAACCATCAAATGATTTTCCACAGCAGCTGCACCATTTTACTTCCCCCCAGCAATGTGAGGGTACCAGTTTCTCCACATCCTTGCCCACACATGTTATTTTCCACGTCACTGTTTTTATTATAGCCATCCTTACGGGTATGAAGGGATCTCATGGTGTTAATTTCCATTTCCCTGATGATTAATGACGTCAAGCATCTTTTCACGTGTGTGTTTGGCCATTTGTAGATCTTCTTGGGGAAAATGTCTAGTCAAGTCCTTTGCCCATTTTTTATCGGGTTGTTTGTCTTTTTATTGTTGAGTTGTAAGCATTCGTTATATATTCTGATCACTAGACCCTTATCAGTGGTTTGCAAATATTTTCTCCCATTTCATGGGTTGTCTTTTCACTTCTTAGCAGTGTTATTTGATGCACAAAGCTTTTACATTTGGCGAAATTAAATAACTTTTTTCTTTTCTTTCGTGTGCTTTGAGTGTAACTACTGCCATTTTTCAAGCCCAGCCAATATGTGTTGTGCACCATGCCAGCAGCTGCATTTAATCCTCACAGCAATCCCATAGGATGGGAACCATTATCCCCATTTTACAGATGAGGCTCATGGAGGTGAAGTCACTTACTCAGTCACCACATAGAAATTTTGTTTGTTTGTTGTTGTTGGTTTTTGTTTTTTTGTGTTTTTTTTTTGAGATGGAGTCTCGCTCTGTAGCCCAGGCTGCAGTGCAGTGGCATGATCTCCGCTCACTGCAAGCTCCGCCTCCCGGGTTTACGCCATTCTCCTGCCTCCTGAGTAGGTGGGACTACAGGCACCCACCACCACGCCCGGCTAATTTTTTGTATTTTTACTAGAGATGGGTTTTCACTGTGTTAGCCAGGATGGTCTCGATCTCCTGACCTCGTGATCCACCCACCTCGGCCTCCCAAAGTGCTGGGATTACAGGCGTGAGCCACCACGTCCAGCCCAGAAATTGTTGAAGGTAGGCTGCTGAGGCAGTCTGATGCCCTCTAGTAAAGAGAAGTAGGCCTGCTGAGCCAGCTGATAGAATCTGAGACTTCAAGGACAGATGGAATTTTAAGCACCTGTTGGGCATTGTTTGTCATTCAGAGGCTTTCCTATCTATGTACTCATTCAACAAACATCCATTGAGCACTCACTGTGTGGTAGGCATTGCACCTGTTGCTAGAGCTATTGCAGGAACCCTGACCCAGTTCCTGCTCTCAGAGTTTCTAGTCAAGGTGAGGCTGTAGTGTGTAAACGAGTAAACAAGGATGCAAACATGCTGGTAACAGATTGTGTTAAGGACCAGGAAAGAAATTCGCAGGGTGGAATGATGCCGAGTGAGGACAGAGAAGACACTAGTGATTGTGAGAGGCGTTGCAATGGAGAAAACGTGTGCAGGAAGAAGATGTGATAGAGGACCTCACCTGGGAGGAGGACAGTGATGAGCGAAGGGTCAAGGAAGGATTACCTGATGACACTCCAAGATTTGGAAGTTGAGTAGGAAATAGACCGAGGGTGGGAAATGGTGGGGGGGAGGGATCATTCCAGGCAGATGCACTAGCATATGCTAAGGTTCAGAGATGGGAAGGAACTCAATGAGTTTGAGAGAGCAAATAAATACATAAGATCAATCTGGCTAAAGTGCAGAGAAAATATCAGGACAGGAGGCTGGGGCAGTGGTCAGAAACCGTACTGCTCAAGGTCTTGAGAAGACAGGTGGACTAGGCAGGAGATATCTGGAAAAATGTAAGCATAAGGGTGATCATTCTGACTTCTATTTGGCAAAAATGATTGAGGGTGGTCAGAGTGCATCCATGGAAATCAAGATGGACAATATCTACTATTTCACTTGAACTCAGGGAGATAAGATTACCACTTTCATAGGCAAAGAGAATGAGGTTTAGAGAGATGAAGTAACATACTTGAAGTGGTAGAACTTAGTCCAGAACGCTTCTCTCCTGAGCTCTTCCCCTTACAGCTTCGTTACTAAGTGTGCTCCTCAGACTAGCAAAATTATTAGAAATGCATAATCCTGAGCTCCATGCAAAACCAAATGAATCAAAATGTTCGCTTTAACATGTCCCTTGGGTGACTCATGTGCACATTACACCTGGAGAAGCACTGGTCTGTACCACACTATCCCTGTACCAGTAGGCACAGCCTTGGTCATCTTCAGCTCTCAAGAGAACAAAACCCTTTCAGAATTCTGGGAAGTCCTGATGGTGGTTGAGACAGCATAGGTTGCCCTGCCACCTACTATGTGCCAGGCTGGGAGCCATGTGTGAAGACAATATTGGAAATAATAAAACATAATTCCCACCCTCCAGTTATTCATAGCCAAGTGGAGCTCAAAAAGCAAATGAGAGTTAATGATGAAGTCTGAGATTTAATTGTTACAGTATTGTTCCCCCAAGGCCCTCCAGAATTTTTCTTTCTTTTTTTTAAACAAAGATAAAAATCCAAACCATAGGGCAGTTGGTTTCCACGCCTCTGTCACATTAATTTTTATCTATGTGTGAAATCAGGGAGGAATTAAGCTTCAATTTGTACTAAGAAAGATGGATGGGAAGCCACGGCTGGCAAATTGAAGCCAAACAGAGCCATCAGTCGGCTTAATCAGGCAAAGAAGGGAAGCAGAGAAGCTGCAAATGATCAACGGCTTGGGAGGACAGATGGCCAGAGCCCCCCACCAGGGACAGTGTCCTCCATCACTCAGCTCCTGAACCACAGGGCAATAGAGCTGGCTATGCTTTGAGTGCCCACTCTGTGCCAGGAATGGCACTAAGCTCCCCGTACCCATCATTTCATTGATTTCTCACTACTGTCCTACAAGGAGGGTGGACTTATCACCATTTTACAGTGGGTAAACTCAAGTGACTTGTCTTAGATCCACAGCAGCTAACTGGCAAGGTTTGAACCTAGGGCTGGCTTATTTCACAGGACAACCTCTCCTCTAGGACAGAAGGGCAGCCTGGAGAGAGAAATGAATCTAGTTTTCTGTCTGTGGTCCTGAAAGAAGTATGGAGCTTCTTGGCAATGTCTTTGCTGTAGGTCACAACACAGTATGGAGTGGAGAAAAGAGTTATCCACCCTTCTCTGCTACCACAAGCCCCATTCAGTCATACTGTCATTCAACAAACATTTAATGGGTACCTGCTATGTATCAAGCTTTGAGATGATACTAGAGATACAAAAAGGAAAAAATATTCATTCTTTCATTCAAGAAACATTTTATAAAGCACCCACTATATTCCATGTACCTTTCTGGATTAACAGGTTATCATAAATAAGACAGACAGCAGAGTAGCGACTTCAGTAAGAGATACTAGAGTGAGGCAGCCTGAGCTTGAATCTCAACTGCTCCACTTATTATGTGTATGTCCTTGAGGAAGTGGCATAACACCTTGAACTTCTTTTTTCCTATTTTGCAAAATTAATGGTTGTTACTCAATAAATATTTACTGACCACATTCTACATACCAGGAGCTCTTCTGGTTGCTGGTAGTATGATGAAAGCAAGCAAACAAAAAGTGTCCCAGCTTTTGTGGAACCTACAAACACCTTAGCCATCTGTGAGATGGTTCCAAATAACCTGTCCGACTTTGGCTTCCTCTCCTATTTCTCTGAAAAGGAAGGGGGAACCAAGGGTTCTGTGCTTGGGAAGGAAATAGTTTTCAAGCTCCTTTGATCCTCCTAAAAGATAGAAATGGCTCCCAATGAAACCCTGGTCTTGGTGTAGGACTTTACCCAATCATAACCCTGGGCTATACTTCACATCCCTTCCTCCTGGATTGCCTGCGACTGTCGGTGAGAGGTGTGTGCTGCCCACCAGCTCTCCTTAGAAAATTCAAAACTGGCCGAGTGCAGTGGCTTACGCCTGTAATCCTGGCATTTTGGGAGGCCAAGGCAGGTGGATTACGAGGTCAAGGGTTTGAGACCAGCCTGGCCAAGATGGTGAAACCCCATCTCTACTGAAAATACAAAAATTAGCCAGGCGTGGTAGTGGGCACCTGTAATCCCAGCTACTCAGGAGGCTGAGGCAGGAGAACCGCTTGAACCTGGGAGGCGGAGGTTGCTGTGAGCCGAGATCATGCCACTGCACTCTAGCCTCACCGACAGAGCAGGACTTTGTTTCAAAAAAAAAGAAAAGAAAAGAAAAGAAGAATCTCAAAAAAAAAAGAACAGAAAATTCAAAACTGCTCTCCCAAATAGTACATGAGAAAACAATTTCCTCAGAACCAAATATTTCCTAAGAATTAGAGTACAAATAAGAACACCTTCTTGCTTGTGAACTGAAAAGTGTTCTTTCCAGTGCACACATCACTTTTTAATATTTTTATTAGATTTTTATGATAAAATTAATAGATGATTCTGGTAAGAAATTTCTCAAGAAATAGTGAAGCGTAAGAAATAGGAACAAATCACTTTTATATTCATGGTCTCAATAGATCCTTGCAAATAGCTCATTAAAATAGGCATGGCACACTATTTTCTAACCGGTTTTTTTTTTTTTTCACTTAAAAAGCAGCATCTTCCTATATGCTGAAGTATTCTTTGAGAACATGGTATTTAATCTCCGAATGGCTGGAGTGTATTTACAGTTATGCATTACTTAACAATGGGGATATGTCCTAGGAAATGCATCTCTAGGTGATGTCATCATTGCGTCAACATCATAGAGTGTATGTACACGAACCTTGATGGTATAGCCTACTACACACCTAGGCTATATGGTACAGCCTATTGCTTCTCAGCTACTAACCTGTACAGCATGTTACTGTGCTGAATACTTTTAACAAAATGGTGTTTGTTTATCTAAACATAGAAGAGATACAATAAAAATGTAATATTAAAATCTTATGGGGCCACTGTCATATATGCGCTCTGTTGTAAATTGAAATACTGTTATGTGGCACATGACGTATTTCACTAAACATCTGTGAGTGGACATTCATCTTGGGTTTTTTTGTTTGTTTGTTTGTTATTTTTCATTCTTAGAAACAAGATATCCTCATTCCTAACTCTTGGTGCAAATCTGTAAATCTTTTCTTATTATAATTATCCAGAACCATATTTGCCAGGTCAAAGTGTTTGAGCATGTTTTCTAGGCTTTTCACTAAATCATCCTCCTGAAAGGTCATAACAGTTTGCATTCTAACCAGTTATGATGAGAGTGAGCCTTTCCCATCACCCTTACAATCTCCAGATTTTATGGCTGCTTTTTATCTTGGCCAATTAGGTGGATGAAAGTAGAATACAGTTTAGATTTGCATTTCATTTTTTATTAGTGAGGCTGAATTTTTTCGTGCTTACTTAGTACTAGAAATATATTTCTTCTTTTGTGAACTGCCTGTTTATATCCTTCTTGATTGCCATTTTGTGATTAAAAGTCAGGGCACAGCCAGCACCATAGAACTGTCATTAAGTAGCAGTCATTCCCTACCATGAAATACACATGTTGATGGTTCCAATTGTAGAGTGAAATCTCCTGTCAAACAGGAGGATTTCCTCCCAGGAGGACAATTCCCTTCCAAGCTTTCTCTCCCTGCCCTGTTTCCTCCCGCTCCAGGTCTCTGATGTTTCACCCTAGGCAAGGGGCAGCGGTGGGCATCAGGGGAGAGTGAAACACTCACTTCCTTCTCTCTCTCTCTCTCTCTCTCTCTCTCTCTCTCTCTCTCTCTCTCTCTCTCATTTGTCTCTCTGTCTCTCTCCTCTCTCTCTCCCTCTCTGCTCTCTCACATTGCCCACCCACCACTTTCTGGATCCAGCTCCTTGTGGAGGGACAGTGCACAATGCCACCATCGGCCGCGTCCTCTCCCCAAGCTACCCTGGAAACACCAATGGGAGCCAATTCTGTGTCTGGACGATTGAAGCTCCAGAGGGCCAGAAGCTGCACCTGCACTTTGAGAGGCTGTCGCTGCATGACAAGGACAGGTAAAGCTCTGAAGGTCCACACCCAACTCTGTTTCCTCCCAGAATATTAGAACGTGACTTGGGGACTTGGAGTCTTGAAATGGCTGAAGTTTTGACTCATGGAATTCAAGAAAAGAAGAGCTGGGGTGGATGGCAAATATCTTAGACACCATCAGCTTCAATCTCTTCCTTTTACAGATAAGGAAACCGGGGCATGCAGAAGGAAAGGGACCTGTCCCAGCTCATACAGCAGGCTAGGGGAAGAGGCAAAAAGGGAACTGCCGTATTCTTTCTCTTGCACACTCCTTTTTGCAGTTGAACAAAAAGGGAGTACGTATTGATCATCTGCTCAGTACCCAGCCATATATTAGGCTCCATGGAGATTAGGAAAGAAGTAGAAAATATTAGTTTCTGGCATGATAGGAAATTGAGAAGGAAAAACTAGACATATGCACATGAAAGAACTAGAGAGAAGTTACTAGGCAGTATCTAAGCAAGAGTGTGTCTATAGACTCTTAATAATATGCACAGAATCCAGCATTATACAACTTTAGTATTCTGGGATCTTATTCTAGAATATTTGGGGATCTTATTCTAGAAATTCTGGGGTCTTATTCCAGAATGTTCTGAAATATTCTGGGATCTTATTCAGGGATATTCTGGGGTCTTATTCTAGAATATTATGGGGTCTTGTTCTAGGATATTCTGGATTATTCTGCGATCTTATTCTAAGATAGTCTAGAAAACTAGGACTTGAGCTGTTTTGACTTGCTGTCGTGAATTGGGTTTCCTTGGAATCAAACATGGTGATAAGGATGTGAGAGGAAGTAGTTTACTGGGGAACTGATCCTACTAAGCACTAGGAGGTGCATGGGAAAGTGAGATTGTGAATACTAGTTGCACTAATAATCCGGTGACTGCTGGGAAAATTGGGATTCTGTCCACTGGAGACCTCTGGGCAACTGTGTTGAGCATACCTTAGGGTGGACCTGTTGGAAGAGTGAGGGAGCTGGGGTATTTATGCACCAGCTCCCATTCATCACTGGATGAGAGATGCGATGAGGAGCACTAACTATCCCCAACATCAGCTGCCACCCTTTGAGCTGGTTGAGTTGACTGATTCTCAGAGATTTGTGGTCAGAAAATGTGGGAGCAGTTGACTCCTGAGGGGTAGGAGAGGGTAGGGCACTAGCAGTGTTTATTGCACTTCCAGAATGCCCCCACCTTAGAATTTTTGATCTAAGAATTCTAGAGTTTTGGCTTCTTTGATGGGTCAAACCTAGACTATCAGGACTTTAGGTTGGAAAGACTTTTTTTAAAAAAAACAAAAAGACAACTGAATAATTTTTCCATGCCTCTTGAGTCCACTTCCGTCTAGGCAGTTCAGCTTTATCCAGAACAACTCTATATCGATAAATTGCTGCTTTAAAGTGTAAGGTATCAAGCAGGGGCTCCCAAACATGGCTTTTCAGCAGCACCAGAATAATAACCTGGGGAACTCTTTAAAAATCAGATTCCCTATCCTTTCTTCTGGAGACTCTGAAAATCCAGGCATGGGAACCGTTGGTGAAGGACCATTTCCAAATCTTAGACCTCAGATCTGCCTCTTCTGAGGGGTGCTTGAGATGAGCCAAGCTTAAGTTTATACTAGACAACAAGAATTAGCAGAGACAAAAGAATGCATCAAAATGAGTATTTTCTGCAAGTTGTTTAAATCCTGACAAGTGGGTCCCCCACTGGTACTGGTCACTAGTAGTTTCTCTGGGGTCCTGCAAAGATCTGTATGAGCTGACACTTACCGGGAAAAAAACCAGCTTTCAAGTGTATCAGTTGGAAGAGAAGTTTGTAGAGTTCATCAAGGTTTAAGGTCAACACACTAAAAAACGATGAAGACACTACTCTCTGGGCCAAGAAGAAAAGAGAAATCAATTATGTCTGTCCCATGCACTTTATTGAGGGGAAATGGCTAAAATACCGCAATATGTCAGTTGTAAGAACTCAGAGCTAGATAAGACTCTACAAAAGAAATAAGACTTTGACCTAAAGTCAAAATGGAAGGAGATTGGATAGTGGATCCAAAAAATACAGAAGGAGGAGTATTCCAGGCATGGAGAATTGGGGAATGAGCACGAAGATGTAGAGGAAAGAATGAGTAAATGTGTTGGGGAGCTGCAGCAGCAGTTCTCACGGGAACAGGAGGAAAAGAGCTGGGAATGTAGACTGGGGTTATATCATGAAGGACTTTGAATGACAGGCTACTTTTACAGGCAATAGAGAGCCATGGAAGGCTTTTTAGTAGAGGAGGGACATGAATAAAGATTGTAAGATGATTTTCCTCCAAATGAACTCTTTCTAAACTCGTCTCATAACATTCCCCATAAAAAATGACTTCTATAGTCAAGCATGTTTGGAAGACACTGTGCCCACCCTATCCTTGCCTTGAAAGGTCCTAATATATACTAGCTAACAAAGGTACTGTTAAGACCCGCAGGAAGAAAAAAATTTAATTTTTGTTTAATTCAGTATTTTGCAAATCCATTTGACCATAGACTACATAAGAATTTGAGAGAAAATACATTACTATTGCAGACATTCTAGAAAATATGGTTAGAAAATTGCTGATTTTAAAAGATTAATAGTCTATAGAGATTTTGAGATCTTGAAACTTTCCTCCAGAGAAACCCTCTTTGCCAAAGGCTCCTGTTCTTTGAAAGAGGTGTCCCAACACACAGTCCCGAAGATACAACAGAGTCATCAGGAATCAGAAGACTATGTAGATGCCCCTTCCCACTCCTGGGATGCCCCCTGGACTCCCCCACAGCCCCCATCCTTGCCTCAGTCATACTGGACACATAGCGAAAGAAACCAACTGTGGCTCCAACATTTATACATCTTAGTGACATTAGAAATTCATCTGGGCAACATAAAATAAACTATTTTTATGAGTCAGTAAAAACCTCAAAGGCTTAAAAATATGTGTTTATGAGTCCATAAAAGAAACTTATCTAATTTGTGTACTGTTTTCTTCACCACTTTTGCATAATTTCTTTAAAAAACCAAGGCTGGCAAGGAGTCAAGTTCAAATAGCTTTAATAACAATAAAAATAAATACCCAACATTTTGTTTAACACGTTTTATTTTTCAGGGCATTTTTTATTTTGAAATATCCTCAAAGCCCACCTGTAAGATAGGTCAGAACAACACTATGGTCAGGTCCCTCCTTTCACAGTTGAGGACACTGAGGCTGAAAGATGTTTTAAGACTTAATGTTAATCCAGATGGGGAATTGGGAAATGGGAATTATGACTCCTGACTTCCCACACAGTGCTCTTAGAAAATGGAGATCAGAGACAGAGCCTGGTGGGGGTCAAATGCTTAATAAAGAAAACTTACCTACTGTGCCCTGTTAATTTTTTTTTTTTTTTTTTTTTAAGACTGAATCTTACTCTGTCACCCAAGCTGGAGTGCAGTGGCTCGATCTCAGCTCACTGCGATCTCTGGCTTCCAGGTTCAAGCAATTCTCCTTCCTCAGCCTCCAGAGTAGCAGGGACTACAGGCACATGCCACCATACCTGACTAATTTTTGTATTTTTAGTAGAGACGGAGTGTCATGATGTTGGCCAGGCTGGTATCTAACTCCTGACCTCACATGATCCACCCACCTTGGCCTCCCAAAGTGCTGGGATTATAGACATGAGCCACCGCGCCCCACACTCTGATATAGGTGCAATTGTACCCATTTTACAGATGAGAAAACAGAGACTCAGAGAGGTGAACTGTTCTTGTGCAAAGTGACACGGGTCAGAAGTGACGGAGTCAGGACTCACACTCAGGTCTGCCTGACTACATAAGCCACCCTTTCGGCAATGAGATTAGTCCATTAATTCCAACTTCTCAATTAATAATAATAGTCAACATCAATTCATTAGTTCATCATTTGGTTTATTACATCATATACATTACTCCTCCTACAACCTCAGATTAAATCATAAGGAAGCCAGGACACGCATTTAGTCCCATTGTACAGAAGAAGAAACGGGTTTGATAAGATGACACTTGTCTGAGCACATAAGAGACAAAGTCAGGACTGGGCACGGTGCCTCACGCCTGTAATCCCAGCACTTTGGGAGGCTAAAGCAGGTGGATCACCTGAGGTCAGGAGTTCGAGACCAGCCTGGCCAACATGGTGAAACCCTGTCTCTACTAAAAGTACAAAACTTTGCTGGGTGTGGTGGGGCACATCTGCAATCCCAGCTACTCGGGAGGCTGAGACAGGAGAATCGCTTGAACGTGCGAGGCAGAGGTTGCAGTGAGCCAAGATCGCACCATTGAACTCCAGGCTGGGCAACAAGAGTGAAACTCCGTCAAAAAGAAAGAAAAAAAAAAAAGAGGCAGAGTTAGGTTTGGGATCAGGTAATGAGGCTCCAGAGGTGGCAGTCATAGCACACCCCTTCCTCTGCCATGTCAGTGACCCAGGAAAATCTGTCAGTGTCCCTCTGTCTCTCTGTTCCCACTACCAGGATGACGGTTCACAGCGGGCAGACCAACAAGTCAGCTCTTCTCTACGACTCCCTTCAAACCGAAAGTGTCCCTTTTGAGGGCCTGCTGAGCGAGGGCGACACCATCCGTATCGAGTTCACGTCCGACCAGGCCCGAGCAGCCTCCACCTTCAACATCCGATTTGAGGGTGAGGGTCCCTGGGGGCTTCCCTTCTCTTGTGGGGCTAGCAGTAGCCTGGGAGCAGGGAAAGCATGGGGAGATAGAAATCTGGGCTGCGAAGGATGTGGGAAATCCCGTGGCCATATAGATCCTTTGGTTTCCAAAGACAGGCTCTTGGTTTCGTTAATAATAACGCCTACCATTAGCTGTGCACTTACTACGTGCTCAGTGCCTTCTGTGCATTGTCTGCTTGGATTTCAGCTTCTGCATCATGTTTGATCCTCATCACACTGAAACATTAGAACTGTTATTCTATCTGATTTTCGGTGAGGAAACTGAGGTTTAGGAAACTTGGGTGACCTGCCCAAGACCACCAGTGAACAAGGATGGAGTTAAGATCTCTGTCCATCCTGTACTGGGGAACCCTTAAGCTCTGATCCACTCCACCTAGTAGACCTCTTATAATGCAGCCACTTCTTCCAAGAAGAATTTAGCAAGAGTCCCTCCTGCTGAGACCCTGACTCTTGAAGAAGGGATTCGCTGGGCATTTCATGCATGTTGGGGGACTTCCTGTTCTGGCTTTGCCAAGAAAAGTTGGTTTTTATCATAGACAACCCTACAGTTTCCAGTGGCAAAAAAAAATCAGGGCTCTGAAGATCCTTCTGTAGAATAGGATGTGGAAAGGTATTAAAACACAACAACTCCACAGGGTGGAGAAGACAGAGATTCTTATTCCTATTTGAGATTTTTTTTAACTATCTTAAAACCCCTGATTTTGAGACGGAGTCTCGCTCTGTCGCCCAGGCTGGAGTACGGTGGCCGCATCTCAACTCACTGCAAGCTCCGCCTCCCGGGTTCACGCCATTCTCCTGCCTCAGCCTCCTGAGTAGCTGGGACTACAGGCGCCCGCTACCACGCCCGGCTAATTTTTTTGTATTTTTAGTAGAGACGGGGTTTCACCGTGTTAGCCAGGATGGTCTCGATCTCCTGACCTCGTGATCCGCCCGTCTCGGCCTCCCAAAGTGCTGGGATTACAGGCTTGAGCCACCGCGCCCTCATTTTTTAAATGAGGCCCCAAGGAGTCAACTGGGTGGCCCCAGGGTTCTCACCACATCGTCTGGAACCGGGACGTGTGATTTGGTTCTTGTTTTCTTTGGGGCTTTTCTAAACAGCACAGGAGACCCATCTTCTGAAATACAGCACCATGGGGTAGTCCCTGCCTCATCTGAACTCCTGCCTCTCTTTGTTTCCCTTCCTCAGCGTTTGAGAAAGGCCACTGCTACGAGCCCTACATCCAGAATGGGAACTTCACTACATCCGACCCGACCTATAACATTGGGACTATAGTGGAGTTCACTTGCGACCCCGGCCACTCCCTGGAGCAGGGCCCGGCCATCATCGAATGCATCAATGTGCGGGACCCATACTGGAATGACACGGAGCCCCTCTGCAGAGGTGAGCGGACCCACGACACTCTTCCCACGGCACCCCAGGGACCTCTACCCTTCGGATGAGAAGACCAGGGCCCCAGCTTAGAGGCCTGCCCCCAGTTTTCATACCAATTTTAGGATTAGAACCCTTTCCAGGGTTCACAGTGCTTTGGTTCAGGGTTGGTGCAGGTCTTGAGAAAATTACAAAATGGGTAAATTTTCAAAGGTGCGCCTTCCTCTGGGCATAGGTCCCATAGTGCACAGCTTGGTGAGAGGAATACTGCATGGATTTTAGCTCGTAAATACTCCCTCTGCTATGCATGCTTGTGCAGTGCACAACCCATGCAACAACCCAGGGCAGGCCTGAATCTCATTAATAAGAATAATGATAGTTCTTAATTGGTGTGTAATAATTATGCTACCAGTGCTTTGCTAAGGGTGTATGTGCATTATCTGATTTCAACCTCACCATAGCCTTATAAAGTAGATTCTATCAGCCCCATTTGCAGGTGAGAAAACTAATGCTATGAAGTGACCTGCTTAAGAACACACTGAGGGGAATTGGCAGGGACAGGAATGGAACTCAGGTCTCTCTGTTCTCAGAGCACTGTGCTCTGAGCCCCACTAGACAGTGTTGGCTGCGTAGAACCCTCATCTACACAGGCTCCAGTGGACTGTCCTGCCAGTTTCCCCATATTCTTTTTGGTGTTGTTGAGATGGAGGCTGGCTCGGCTCACTGCAGCCTCTGCCTCTCGGGTTTAAGCAATTCTCCTGTCTCAGCCTCCTGAGTAGCTGGGGTTACAAGCATGGGCCACAACGCCCGGCTAATTCTGTACTTTTAGTAGAGACGAGGTTTCACCATATTAGCCAGGCTGGTCTTGAACTCCTGACCTCAGGTGATCCACCCGCCTTGGCCTCCCAAAGTGCTGGGATTACAGGCGTGTGCATCGCGCCCGGCCCGTTTCCCCATATTCAAGGCCGCTGAGCCACCCTGAGCCTGGGTCTCCTGGTAGCACGTGGAGTAATGAAGGGTGCCCTCACTCTTGGCAGCCACCGCCTCAATGGCAGTTGGCGTGAAATCACAGCCTTGCCATGGTGAGGAATTGATCCCTATATTAGATGTACCGGTTTAACAGAGCGGAATTTATTGGTGCTTTGGCCTCTGCCATGTTGAGAACTTTCCAAAGCGGTAAACACAGAGTGGAATTTAAAGGGCACCTGCCGCAGCCACATCTCTGCTTCCAGTTCAGGGCCGGGACCTGTCATAGCAACATTATCTAAATTATCGAGCAGCTACCACGTGCCAGGCGCTGTGCAGCATGTTTGACATTCATGAGCTTAAGCCTCAAAATCACCCAATGAGGTTGGCAGTGGAATTGCCCCCATTTTATAGAGAAAGGGAGCTGAGGCTCTGGGAAATTACATACCTCCTCTTACAGACTGTTAGCGGCAGAGACAAGATTGGAACCCTGGGACCACCTAACTTGAGTGGGCGGTCTCTTAGCCACTACTCACCCTGCAAAAGAGCAGAGGCTGTTGAGAGTCATTCTGACCACTGAGCTCCACCCTTGGTCTTGAAAGAGCAATAGCGCCCCTTAGCCCACCTTTTACCAACTGTCAGCTGCAGGGCAGGCAGCTGGCCAGCTCTCATTTAATCATTACACACACACAAACACACACACACACACACACGTGCTGGCTGCCTGAGGTAAAGGCACCTGTCCACAGTACACAGAGATTCACGGCTGTCTGACTTCATAGCCCACATGGTTAGCCGCTATGCCACACTGACTTCTTTACAAATAAAGTCCGCCTTCCTGCCTGTCTGTCTTTTACAGCCATGTGCGGTGGTGAGCTCTCTGCTGTGGCTGGGGTAGTATTGTCCCCAAACTGGCCGGAGCCCTACGTGGAAGGTGAAGATTGTATCTGGAAGATCCACGTGGGAGAAGAGAAACGGATCTTCTTAGATATCCAGTTGTGAGTGTTTATAATGGGCGGTCCTCTAATTTGGCAAAATTTGGGAGATTGGGAAAGAAATTGCTCCTGTTTTATTCTTTCAGCCAGTAGTAACTAAGCATCTACTATGTGCCAGGGACTGTGCAGAGAACAGGCATTCCCATAGTGAGATCGACAACAACACCACACACACACACACACACACACACACACAGAGAGAGAGAAAGAGAGAGAGAGAGAGAGAGAGAGAGAGAGAGTCCCTATCTTTGGGAAATTCAGTCTAAGGAAACAAATATGAAATGAGGGCATACACAAATAATTGCACACTCTAACTTCAATAAGGGATGTAAGGAGAGGTGAATGGTGCTATGAGATTCTATAACTGGAATTTGATATAAAGAGGAAGGTCAGAAAAGTCTTCCCCAAGGTTCTGATACTAAAGCTCAGAACTAAAAGATGAGTTGGAGCGATGCAAACTACATGAACAGAATGTGCAAAGGCCCTGTGGCAAGCATCTCATTTTCAAAGGACCGAATGGCCAGTGTGGCCAGGGAGAGGGGGGCACTATAACACTCGTTTACAGGACTACTGTTGTTTATTTTCCTGTTTGTCTCCCTAAACTAAACCAGAAGGTCCTCTCCACTGGGGCTGGGGCTGACTACCCTCTGTCTCCACAGTCTAACACAGAGTCTGATACACAGTAGATGTTCAGGAAATGATTGCTGAATGAAAAAAAAAATGTTTTTAATGAACAGACTTACTTGGCTGTGCGGCTGGGTTTCTCATATTCACAGGGGGTAACCATTAGATTCTCCATCCAGAATGTTCCCCACTAGCTCCCCATGAGGGTGACATTTGCAGGGAAGCAGTTACTCCGGGCCAGATGCAAAAGCGACTGCTCTAAACATTTCTGTCTTAGGTCATTCTCACAAAGAACCCTGCCTGGGAGGTCATTAACCCCACTGTCTGAGAAGGTAGCAGAGATGCAGGGAGGCCACCCAGAAAGCCAGCGAGTAGCTGAAATTCAGGCTTCTGTGGCTTCTCAGTCATGCTCTTTCCACTGCCCCATGTGAGATGGGGGTGAGAAGTGGACAAAGACAGATGGTGGTGTCTGGAGAAAGCAGAATACAGAGTTCCCCACAGACCCAGGTGGCAGACGGGAGGGTGGTTGGGGGAGGAGAGAGTGCTGAAACCCAGCAGGCTGGGGAAGCAGCACTCAGGGTTGTCTGGCTCTGCAGAGGAAGCTTGCAAGAGAAAGAGACATTATTTTCAAATTATTAGTGACTGGCTTTTGAAGCTGTTCCTTAGATGCAGCAAGAGTGTCCTTAGGCTAGGTGCCGTGGCTCATGACTGTAACCCGAACACTTTGGGAGGCTGAGGCAGGAGGACTGCTTGAGACCAGGAGTTTGACACCAATCCCAACAACATAGGGGCATCCTATCTCTTCAAAAAAATAAAAATTAGCTGAGTGTGGTGGCACACGCCTGTGGTACCAGCTACTTGGGAGGCTGAGATGGGAGGATCTCTTGAGCCTGGGAAATTGAGGCTGCAGTGAGCTGTGATCATGCCACTGCACTCCAGCCTGGGTGACAAAGTAAGACCCTGTCTCAAAAAAAAAAAAAAGTGTCCCCAGAGGTTGTCCCAGAACCTCCTTCTCCAGCGGAGTCAGAGACTTACACAGCTTGAATAACTGCCCCTTGTGGACTTGGGGTCAGGCCAATCTAAGAAAGAATTCCACCTCCTTCACATATGACTTTGGGCTGGGTTCACCTGTTCTCGCCTCTCTCTGGGCCTCGGTTTTTCTCTCCTGTAATGGGGATCTTGGAATATCAATGCTTTGTGGCTGCTGGAGGCAGATTTTTCGCGTTCCTTGCCCATTGCCTCACTCCTCAATAAAGCTCATCCTCGTCTGGGCACAGTGGCTCACACCTGTAATCTCAACATTTTGGGAGGCTGAGGTAGGAGAATCACTTAGGGCCAGGAGTTCAAGACCAGCCTAGGCAACATAGTGAGACCCCCATCTTTACAAACAATTTAAAAAACTAGCCAGGCTTGGTGGCACCTGTAGTCCCAGCTACTTGGGAGGCTCAGGTGAGAGGATTACTTGAGCCCTGGAGTTCCATGCTGCAGTGAGCCATGATCACACCACTGCACTTCAGCCTGGGCAACAGAGTAAGACTCTGTCTCTAACAAAAAAGTTAAAATTAAAATTGAATTAAATAGACCTCATCCTCTTCCCCCCATTCCTTTCTCTCTGACTTCTAGAGTCTGGAATAAGATGTTTATTCATTCATTCCAAACAAATTGTTTGAGTGTCTACTATAAGGCAAGCATAATCTTATGTGCTGGAAAGGTTCTAATGGTTGTTCCTTCAGTGGTAAAATTCATATTAAAAAGAATGGAATGGGTTGTCTCTCTTAACTCTAGGGAAAAAATTACTGTGTACCTACTGTGTGCCAATAGCAGGCTTAGCATTGAAGATACAGTTGTGAGAAAAGCAGGGCAGTCCTCACCCTGCATGCCTAGCAGGTGAGGCGGGGAAGGAAGTAAATGCAGTGTGAAAGGAGCAGTGACAGGCAGGTGAGGGCACCTGAGTGAAATCAGGAGGGCTCCCAGGAAGAAGTGACTTCTATAATACCATGAAAGAGAAGGTAGGCAGGTGATGGGGGGAGGGGAAGAAGAATGCCCCGGCCAGGCATGGTGGCTCACACTTGTAATCCTAGCACTTTGGGAGGCCGAGGTGGGTGGATCATTTGAGGTCAGGAGTTCAAGACCAGCCTGGCCAACATGATGAAACCCCGCCTCTACTAAAAATACAAAAATTAGCCAGGCGTGGCGGTGGGCACCTGTAACCTCAGCTATTCAGGAGGCTGAGGCAAGAGAATCACCTGAACCTGGGAGGTGGAGATTGCGGTAAGCTGAGATCACACCACTGCACTCCAGCCTGGGTGACAGAGCGAGACTCTGTCTCAGACAAAAAAAAAAAAAAAGAAAGAAAAAGAAAAGAAGAAGGAGGAGAAGGAGGAGGAGGAGGGGAGGAGGAGGAGGAGGAGAGGAGGAGGAGGGAGGAGGAGGAGGAGAAGGAGAAGGAGAAGAAGGAGGAGGAGGAGAAGAAGAAGAAGAAGAAGGAGAAGGAGAAGGAGGAGAAGGAGAAGGAGAAGGAGAAGAAGGAGAAGGAGAAGAAGCAGAAGCATGTCCTACCTACATGATAAGGACATCTGCAAAGCATCTATAAGCCTGGAAATGAGAGGGTGTAACCCACTTAATGGCATAAAGTTTAACGTGGCTGGAGCAAAGCATGGCAGGTGGGTAGGGGCTACAGAGGGAATGGATCCAAGGGAAGCTCTGGGGTCTTCTTAGCTGAAGCTTCACATAGAAAACTTTATTCTAAGGCTGCATCCCTTAGGAAGCCTTCTGTGTTGCCCCCTTGTCCTTGTCCATAAATACAAATTTATGGTTCCAGCTTATGAATTCCTTCCCCCAGAGGTTACCAGGAAAACCACCTGTCTTCAGCCAAGAGAAGGTATGACAAACTCCTGAGTTCTTGGCTTCTCTGGCAGAAGATCCCGCCCAGCTCTAGGCCCCATGAAGTCATCTATAATCCCTCCTCTTCTGCTTGGCTCGCCTCTTCTCGCCTCACAGGAAGCCTCCCAGATGGGTGGTTTTGCTTAAATAAGTCGGGCCCACATCTCCCTTTGGTGCCAGAGGTCTGGAGGAGGAAACAAGAAAATGGGAATCTTTACTTTCATCATCTCTAGGCATCAAATATTCAATTAACCTTCAACCTGACACCAGATTGGGTTTTATTTCTACCACTAAGCATGCATGCGATGGGGCAGCCGATCTGGGAATCTCAAGCAATTAAAGCTTCCCCAAAGCCAGGCCACTGATGTTAGCATCAGCGAGGGAGCCCTTGCAGCGGGGGCAGACTTTCTGTCTTCTGGACATTTTCGCAGTCATAGATTGAGCGTTGACTAGGAGAGAGGACCCTCAGTTTCCTGCCTCCCTGCCCTGATACTCCATGCCCTCAGCAGCCCTGGACCCAGCACCTAGCCTCTCTGGGCCTTAGATTCCTCCTCTGCAAAATGATGGGCTGCCTTGAATCAAGGGTAGATGCAAATTCAAAATTATGAAGGGCCAGACAACATAAATACAGGATTTAGAGCTGGTGTGAGATTATATGGAGGGGAGGGATCTGTGATGAATTAGGAAGTACATACCCTATCTAAAATCATTTAAATTCAATTTTTATTTTATTTTATTTTATTTTATTTTATTTTATTTTATTTTATTTTATTTT